TAAAAACAACATACATGGAATTTGGACGGGCGCAATTTCCGTATTCACCGTTTCCGTCGCGGGAGGTCTTCTCTGCTTGCATTCGGGTGAACGTGTGGACGGAGTACAACGATTTTCTTTGCATTCATTCCTGATGTCATGGATCATCGGGACACCAGAATTATCATCATCTGTCTTAACTCCATTTACCGACACATTATCCTAAAAAACTTATGAGGTCTACAATACTACTAACCAAATCCATCGAAGCAACTTTTGGTTCAAAAACCTTTGAACACTCTGCAATATCAATATTTTGAGCAGTGCCATCACAAGAATCATCACTGTCCACGATCAAACGCCTCCGTTTATTGGAGGGGTTTGCGTTCGAAGAACCAGAAAGCGGAGTAGGTTTCCTAAAGGATTATAGTGACAACTATCCTTACTCATCCGTTTGGACATTGTTGCTAAAAAAAGACCTGGAAACCAGTTAACCTCATTTTTTGCAGAACCAACTCACAATAATGATTTCTGCGGCATCTTTCCTATCGAATTCAAATGGTAGCCAAGATATCTACGGTGAAAGATACGGACACAATAGCTCAGGAAACAAGCAGGAAGGCGGAGGGAAATTGGCATCCAATTCCACCGCTTCGACCTTGGATGAGTGGCCTTCATGAGCCAAACAGGTTTCATGGATTTCAAATTAGCATAGTTTCAGGTACTGTTGAGTCCCTGCGTTCGTGGGCATCCAGAGAGTCCCTGGAAGAGAAATTAGCCTCACGGATTCCTTACGGAGTAGGCATTGTATCCGATAGGTAGAATGGCTGGGACCAGACCCTTGCAGGCAACGATGGGAACTAAAACACTGGCATTACCGAATTAAGTTGCCACAATTAAAGGAAATGGCTATACCCTACCGTTATTGGAGGGTTTAGTAGTAACTCGTGCGTTATGCCACTGAAGATACGTTTTAAGGTACTAGGTTACGCATTTAGTGTGCCCACACACTGTGTGAACTTCCCTGTCCCTCCGGTGCTAAGATCGAGAAGTCTCTAGATCTCTACAATGGACCGGATTTATCACTTATACAGTCACTTTCCTCTGGGCTATTTAGTGACACATCCAAAAGAATAAGTGAACTGAAACCTTGATGAGCGAAGAGTGTGGGTGCGCCATCATTTGCTCTCGGAGTTTATGGCGTACAGTTTATGAATCCATATTTATCCTACCTGCTATGTGGAGATACCTGGCCAATACTCACTAAGACGTTAGCATAATCACGCATTAGGCTGAAGATTGGCCTTCCGAAGAGCTACTGCCCAAAAACTTAAAGGCTTGCTGAACCCCAGGAAGTGCTTCTGTAAAGCACAAGTGACAATGGTTAAGAATGGTTTGTGGGAGACATGTATTGAAAACATTCGAACACATCGGGCATTTTTTACACGCGTAAGTGCATCTGACCCGGATACCTAAACAAGTTCTCCAGTAAGCGAGAAGACTGTTTTGAAAAAAACGCGGTATGTACACGATCCACTAAGGAATGGTGGTACGACCGGGACGGTAGACCCATCAAGTTTTATGAGCACAGTAAAAGTCAAGCTTACGCGATACCCTCAGAATTCACGTGTGGTTCAGGCAAAAATAACGCGCTGTGGTTCATCTCCACCTCTGGGAACAAGACGTTTTGCACGATCCCACCACATTTTTATTGGCATGATAGGAACTAATCGTAAGTGTCCCGTATTTTGCGGGGTTTTGCAAGCTGAAACAGATAAGACGTCAAGCAAACATTCTGTAGTTTTCCGGGATGTTACCGTGCAGTCTCAGCAAACGGAAACACCCTAAACCCTTTTCATTTGCGACATTGTTTCGCCTTGCATACTCATTCATGCAACGATTCCTCGCAATAAACTTACCCGATTGTGACATCGTTTTTAAAGCTTACATTTAGCATTCGACAGTCTCTCTACGTCTTGGTGGCTTCAGAAACCAGAAGGTTTAAAAAAGCTAAATACCAAAGAGGCGAAAGCTAAAAAAGCAAAGGTCGTGCCTTAGTGACAACTGGGCTTATACGGACAAAAACTTTTACGTCTTGGTGGCTTCAGAAACCAGAAGGTATAAAAAAGCCAAATACCAAAGAGGCGAAAGCTAAAAAAAGCAAAGGTCGTACCTTAGTGACAACTGGGCTTATACAGACAAAAACTTTCTTCGACGCCCAACGTGTTACTGCGAAGACTGAACGCAAAAGGCTGTTTGGTCCACTTCGGAATATTATCAAACCGTCTGACTGAAAGTTCGGACAGATTCATGAGGGATACCTCAGTGAATGGTTGTTCGTGTGCGATCTGAAGTTGTAAAACCATGCGAGACACCCTGAAAAATGATGACTTTAGGCGGGTCAGGTTAACGAAAACTCACGTTAAAGCTGAAGCGCCGACCCATTCAGAGTCAGTTTCACGTAATGGATGCGCTTTACGAGACACTTTTTCTGTCATTCGCCTGGTGTACGTGTCCCACGTAATCCCGCAGACTGGAACACGCAACGGAGGACTTACCAATCAATAGCAATAACATGGCTCATTTGTTTTTGTCTTCTTTAACTTTAATATTCCATACATTTGTGAGATGTTTTTTAGAAGTGGTTCCTGTCCATAAAGTCCATCTGTCCGCGCTCATTATGCAGCAAACTGAAATGTTCATTTCCGCGCCAGCAAACATCGCCTTTAAAGTGGGATATAAAGCTCGTTACGTAAACAGAATTTTCTGGCTGAACACCAAGTCCCTACAAGTTACCAAATTGGTTGTTTACTGTAACTCGCTAATCGAGATAGTCGCCGAGGGTACATTGTATGACCCGGGCCTAGCTATACCGATGATTACTCACCAGAAACTTAGGGTTTCCGAGAAACCGTTTTAGCAGACGAGGCACGATGTGTCACGCAGGTTGTCTTCATGGGTTCGGCAAACAAACTTTTACGTTGTGCTTCGGGCAAGATGAGAGGTAATAAAGCCTGAGGTGTGGCACAGTATCACCGTTATCGTTTCCTTCAGTCATGAAACCAACAAAAACCGTATAGGTAAATAAACTTAAGTGAAAGTTTTGTAAAACTGCAGGCTTTTGGGTTCTTGCAAAGCACGGACTATCGTAACTCGCCATCTGAAAAAATTACGGAGTGTGTTTACTACAAAATTAAATTCTATGGGAACATGTTGTATATACGGTCAAACCCAGGTCCCTCAGGTCAAACCGAAAACGCGCGTGAGCACGCACCCATTATGCTCTCGGCTTTTGCCTCAGATGTGATACGACTAAAATTCCCTTTGCTTCTGACAGTACTGATCACGATATCTGCTTTCCGCGATATCACCTTAATGAGCATTATTCTGTGGCATGTTGACCACTTGATCGTCCTTCAGATCGACAACAAGTTGTTAGTGGCGTCAACTTTGATGAGGCCTTTGAATTTATCGGCTAGTATTAGGTAAAGACGAAGGCTCGCTAGAACCACTACAACCTTAATTTCACTCGAAGACGAGTACCGATGCTGTAGTGTTACGGCATAAAAGCATTTGTCACCGGAAAATGAATGGCATGCTTTGTTTGGACAACACAAATCAAGCTTCCCTTAACCTACAATGCGCACTTTTCACCTTCATGCTGTCTGTGGCATAAGCTGCATTCATGCGTGTGTTAAAGAACACTTTAAGTTCACTGCGTGTGATTATTCTGGAAGGATTCAGGTGGCTGCGCACTTGCACCGCTCTATACTTTGCGGGAGTGCATAGTTAACCAACTACAACGCCCAAGTCTTGATTGGAGATGATGGTGAGAACGTCTTTCAAGTAATAGGGCTGAAGCTGGTTTCGCGCATCAAACCATTGTTTGAAGCGCCCGGGGTCATTCAGTTAACCGATCCATATGACAACTTCCTCGCGGTGGCAGCACTTTTGAGGCGTTTTGTTATTTCACCAACAATTATTGATATTGAACATATGTGAACCAATAAGCCCGCTAAATAGCGCCAAATTGTTGGTTGGGTCTAAGCAATGCGAACGAAAGTGGCGCGGCAGGCGAGAAGGTAGCACCCGTTTCAGCCAATTGTTCCATCGCATCAGACGGCTCATCTACGGATAACCCGGCTATTCGCGTCACACGTTGCAAAGGTAATAATAAATAAATAGATATAAACATACACATTGCGTTCACTTCAATAATTTGCAGGAAACGTAGCAGGTGAGTCATGAATGCGTCTTTACAATCTGAACGCGGTGGTAATGGCACAAAATGGAGGAAGGTAACAGTAAATACAACAATGTTTTTCACAACTAGTTGGTGACATTCCGTCAAAAATGGTGGTTGGGCGGAAAGAGAACAAGCCTCATAAACAGTGGGCATTATTTGATGTTGCCTTGGTCACGCTAAAGCTGGCATGGACAGGCAGATGCACTTATCAGGTTTTCTTTCGTTTGTGAGCCGTGTCAAGCTGAGACAAGCTCAGATCGTTAGGATTTGAGGGTGCCTGGAAAAAACTGAAAACGCCAAGAGAAAGGCATCCAGTCAAGCGTTTAATGAGAAGGCTTCAGATCACAGAAAAGCAGGAAACCAGTACAAAAGTTCTGGTGAGGCAGCAGAACTTCCATGATCTGACAGGTAAATGTGAACTAAAGCCTGAAATCATCAAAGAGGCCCCGCGGTCTACAACTTTTGTATTTATGTCCAGGGTCACGAAAAGCGTTAGTAGGGACTATGAAGCAAAGGAATTGGCAATGCTTATGAACAGTGGCAGAAATGTAGTAATTACGGTGTACGGAGAATGTGTAGAAACTGTGGAACAAATCGGTGTAAAAAGGCGGGGGCGTAGTGTGGCGGTGGAAATGAAATACACGAAGGCTGAAGGGAGTAAACCTTCTGAGGTGATAGCAAAGATTTCCACAAAGTTAGCATGTGAGTTAAAAATTGGCATATGAAGGCTCGAGTAGGCGAGGGGTGGAGATTGAGGGAGGGAGAAAATAGTTGGAAGTATGCCATCACACTGTGTATAGCAATAACAAATTTTGAAACTTCGGAAAAAGTAAAAATGAGGAAGGAATAATATGAGGGCATTAGCTTCAGGTGAGTGTCGGGAGGCATCAGATGAACGGTGTCCAGTGGAAAAAAGATTCTAAAAATGTATGACAGCAAGACTAATGAACCTAAGAAACGGTGGACCCAGCAAGCAAGGAATCACTCAAGTTGACAGTGTAGTATGAGGACTCAACAAATTGTCATCAGTGGGTCTCTACTCAGCGGGCATGCAGTACACTCAGATAGCCGCGCAAGAGACAATCATTGGTGGTAAGAATTGTGTCTCGTGCATCCAGTGAGTCAGTGGATATTAATGTGTAAGACCACGGCGAGAGTAGTTGCGTTATTTTTTAAATATGAGGACTAAGCGAGCGAAGTAGGCTGAAAGGAGGCTGGCCTTTCGTCTAGTTGGTACGGACGAATACAGTTTAAGTTGGATAGGGGGCGGAAGTGGTTTCCAGCTCTGCTGAAATATCCATTCAGAAGGTCTCTACTGCAAAAGGGGAGCTTTTGTGAAAAGAGGCAGCGGAGAGGAAATCAACGGTCGAGCAAGGACCTTGAAATTTGACGACAGGATTTTATCGGCTTGATATCTTCACCAAAAGAAACAAAAATTATTAGCAACTGTGTTTTCTTGCCCATACAGATTTAGGTATGACCAAGTCTCATCGGATGGCGTCCACTGTTTATAACACTCCATTTTTCACGCAAACCACAATACCCACAAACAAATCATTCGTTTTTTTATTTTGAATCAAAAATTATGAGCACGCATGGATATTTGCAACCCGGTAGTCGAAGATAAACATTATTCTAGTTCAGCCGCAAACCACTATGCGAGCTTGACAGAAAGGAAACGGTATATTCCAATGGTCACAGAGTCACCACTGTCGGCATCCAAGCAAATACTGTTGCACAGCAAAAACTGCTAACAGGCGTTAGCCATGACTACTGGTATTCTGGGAACCATAGCGCAACGTAACAGGGTGACTCACCCTGCAGGGCGTACCGGCCCGCCACACAACGTTCTCTTCCGTTATATATGCTAACCGATCTGTAAAATGACAAACCAACAGGCAGTTACAACTGCGGCTTTTGCATTATAAACTAACTCAAGTCACCATATATTTTAGCCAGTAGAGAGTAAAGCCGGCCAGGTTAAGCGTCCGTCATTTCGAACAAACAAACAAGAAAGAACCAATGAAAGAGGTAAGTCGTGAAAGCGGAGAGAACAGCAGCTATTTCCTGGACCATTGGAGTAGAATGGAGGTGTTTAGAGCCCGTGTGCTGCGGGTAAACAACGATGAATCGACGTTGTGAACCAGAAGGCCAAACAGAGAAGCACTACAACGTATTGCATGTGTGAATGGAATGCTTGTAGAACCAAGCAGGTATTTCATTCATTGCGGTTCTTCGGTCTATCTATTTGACGTGCGTACGGTGGGTGTGATCAGGGAATGCAGAAAGGCATTGGAGAGTAAAGAAATAAGACTTCGGTGGTCAATGTTGGTTAAAGCTGGGCAAAGTAAAGTACCAGACAGTAAATGGAGCCGACAGAATAATTCAGGGATAATATCGGGCTTGAAATAATGGGAAATAAGTTGTCCGGGTACAGAAGCTTATGGCCGAATGTAAGGAAGTGCAACAGGCCAATTGGAGGCGGTAATAAAAAATTTAGGATTGCAGGTGCTAGTCACAAGAAGTGGAAGTTATGTATAAGTAATAGGTAAAATTGTGAGTAGTGGCCAGGAACTCTTAGGTGTGAAGCTGCATCACGTGTGGACTGGCGCAAAATGCTCAAGCTAGTAAGTGTTCATGCTAGGACAATCTAGAACTGCTTCAGGCCTCTTTCAATGAAAGTACCTAGTGTTGGCTGCGACTCGAACGGGCGCTCGGTTCTCGCAATAAATAAGAATCGGAGGTATTTCGGAAGCCTACATGGGAAACTATAGCATGGATGTGGAAGGGGAGTTCGTTTTGTAGTATAAAATTCAGGCAAAGTAAAAAGTCTTGCATAAATACAGGTTGACAATCGAAGCAAACACCCAGAGTGGCAGATATTATAGGGAAGGAAGGAAAAAACTCAGGACGACAGTCAGCTACGCAAGCCTGTCCGTAGATTAGGTGATGCAAAATGCCTAGTTCTAGCCTAATGAGCCTCAACCATAAAAATCCAGCCCGAGCTACAAGAAGCTAAATTGTTATGGTAATTTGGATGACGCCGAGAACAAAGACTTGGCAAACGAGCACATTTTCCACGGAATGCCGGCATGTCCGTGAATACTGTGAGACGGATTGAGGGCTGTGTTTCTACAATGTATCTTGCGAACTGCTTCAAGCTGGAATTTAAACATGGCTTACTGTGAAAAGATCGGTGAATGAAGAGGTAAAGCTGGCGGCTGTTGGCTAATGTTTACCATTCGTGTCAGA